GCACGGAGGGGTGGAAGGGAGACCAGAGGTGCTGAGCTGCTCCCAGAGGTGCTGAGCTGCTGGCTGCAGTGCCAGGACTCTGGTGGCTCAGGATGGAGGCTTCCAGACCAGGGCAGAGGGGACATGGTGCATGACCAGAACTGCGCTGGACTTTGCCCTCCATGGGGCCTGGCCTGGGACTCTGACTATAGAGGACACTCACAGTGCCAAGGATGTGACTCTGGGCTGAGAGCTGCAGGTCTCAGATCTGAACCCCACACCCCTTGCTGTCAGGGTTACTTGACAAGAGATGTAGACAGGACCCATGTCTCAGTGCTGTCTGTGAGCCCACTGGATAGGCACATACATGGCAAGTCTTGAGACAGGTGGTGACAGGCTTCGTCTGTGTAGGCTTCCCAACCAGGGCGGCAGTCCACCACCAAAACTTGAGGCTAGGGGTGAGTGATCAGTCCGTGTAGATGGTGAGGTACTGGATTCCGCCCCTAGACGTGGGTTAGAGAGCCCAGTCTTTGGAAGGCTGAGGCAGGAGGATTGAGTTCCAGGCTATCCTGGAGCTGGAGTGGCATGTCGCCCACACTTCCCTTCCCCCAATGAAAAAAGACCTTGAGCTGACCTGGCTTCTTATCCTGCCTTCATGGTACCTTAGACATCATTCCTGTTATTGGGAACCCAGCTTTCTGCTTCTCTTGGAAGCTAGAGGAAAGAGCTCCCTACCAGCCTGGTGTGGATCGCCACGCAGCTGCCAGGCCTTGCAGTGGTGGAGGACCTGTTAGCCTCTCTTGTGCCAACCTAAGAAAGTCTGCCATCCATGTTACAAGAGGTCAGGGCAGTAGCTGGGAACATCTTGAGCCACGGGCAGCTGTTCTGTTTAAAGAAACAAGAACAGGTGTCCCAGGCTGATTTCAGACAATGTTCTGGGCGAGAGGGCTCTCAGGTACAGAGTGGGGTGCTTTAAGGCATATGGCCCAATTTGCTGGGGTATTTTGAGGCAGATGTGTCCCACTAGGGATCTGGTACCTGTCAGGCCTGGGGAAGAACACACTGGGCCCTGCTTACATGGCCTGAGGCAGCGGATTGTTGACTGGGACCTGGGAGAGGGAGGCAGCTGGAAGCCTGGGCTCACGTCTGTGCTTTGCCTTGCAGCCCCCAGAGCAGCCCCCATACCCGCACCACCAAGGTGGACCACCCCACTGCCCGCCTTGGAACAACAGCCATGAGGGCATGTGGGGCGAGCAGCGCGGGGACCCTGGCTGGAATGGGCAGAGAGACGCCCCCTGGAACAACCAGCCGGACCCCAATTGGAATAACCAGTTTGAAGGACCATGGAACAGTCAGCATGAGCCACCACCCTGGGGTGGCGCCCAGCGTGAACCGCCTTTCCGGATGCAGCGGCCCCCTCACTTCCGTGGGCCCTTCCCCCCCCACCAGCAGCACCCACAGTTCAACCAGCCTCCACACCCCCACAACTTCAACCGCTTCCCACCCCGCTTCATGCAGGACGACTTCCCCCCTCGTCATCCTTTTGAGCGGCCGCCCTATCCTCACCGCTTTGACTATCCCCAAGGAGACTTCCCCGCAGGTGAGAGGGTAGGGTGACGTAGGAAAGTCTGTCGGGTACCCAGGTGTGCCTGGCTGTGGGTGTCGAGGAAGTCCTGGGCATGAGATGGGTGTGGAATAGGCAGACAAGGGCGGCTTTCACCCTGTCCCCCACTTAAGGGCCGGCCCCCCACCCTGCCCCCACTCAGGGGCGGCCGTCCTTTGCCTGCGGGTACTTCTGGCACTGCTCTCCCGCCCTCACTCGCCTTGCCGTCCTTCCCTGGCTGCTCACTCATCTGAGGCTGTACCTGTGTCTCTTTGGTTGTCGTGTCAACCTGAACTGCACACAGAAGCCACAGACAAGGGTGTGCCTCAGTGGTAGAGATCCACACCCTACCACACGGTCCTCAGGGCAGTTGGGTTGGAGTCCACCAGAGACCTGGTAGCCATAACCTCGTGTTTTGAGGGCAGCTGCTAGCTTGCCTGTGCTTGGGTGCTGGCAGAGAAGGGTCTCAGCACATTCCCGTTGAGGAGGTAGACATTGAGCTCGCTGCCCCTGGGTGCAGTGGTAGCCCTCCAGTGTCGTCACTGAGTCCCCTAGCTGCACCCGTATCTGAGGGTCCCAGACCTCCCTTGACCCTCTCACCTCGTTTGACCACCCCAGCAAGCTGGAGACAATGTTTTGTTTTGCAGAGATGGGACCCCCTCATCACCACCCCGGCCACCGCATGCCGCACCCTGGCATCAATGAGCACCCGCCCTGGGCTGGGCCCCAGCACCCTGACTTTGGTCCTCCTCCCCACGGCTTCAACGGCCAGCCCCCCCACATGCGGCGACAGGGCCCACCTCACATCAACCACGATGACCCCAGCCTGGTCCCCAACGTGCCCTACTTCGATCTTCCAGCGGGGTTAATGGCTCCCCTTGTGAAGGTGACACTGGGCACGGGTAAGGGCGGGAGGAAGGGAGACTGGCGTCAGGCCCCGCCTCTGCCTTGCTGCTGGCTCCCGCTGGGTGGCCAGGGGGCTCTGCAAGGCACAGGCAGCAGCTTCTTCTCCTATAGCTGGAGGACCACGAGTACAAGCCTCTGGACCCCAAAGATATCCGCCTGCCGCCACCCATGCCACCCAGCGAGAGGCTGCTGGCAGCTGTGGAGGCCTTCTACAGCCCACCCTCGCACGACAGGCCGAGGAACAGGTAGGGAGGCTGGGCCCCAGGCCTGACTGGGTCCCCATCCTATGTGAGGGCTGCTTCCTCCGAACACTTTTACCCTCAGGTGCTGGGCATGAACACTGGCCTTGTGCCATCCAGCCTTGACCCAGCAGCCACTAAGAACAGCAGTGGGCATGTTTATGAGGTCACCTGGGATTTGGCTGCCCACCAGGTCCTCCAGTGGGAAGGTCTGGACGCGAGAGCCCCAGCAGCCTCCTGGTTAGCTTCCTCCCTGTCCATTATGGCCCGTGGGGACCGTCCTGGGTCTCAATGGGGACCTTGTCTTACAGTGAGGGCTGGGAGCAGAACGGCCTCTACGAGTTCTTCCGAGCCAAGATGCGGGCTCGGCGGCGCAAGGGCCAGGAGAAGAGGAACAGGTGAGCTGGGGGCCAGGGGACAGCCGTGTGGTGCGCTGGACCCAACTGCGGCCGTCCTCACTGGCATTTCCCCTGCAGCGGCCCCTCCAGGTCACGCAGCAGGTCCAAGAGCCGCGGCCGCTCATCGTCGCGCTCCAGCTCGCGCTCCTCCAAGTCTTCGCGCTCCTCCTCCCGCTCCCGCTCGCGCTCCCGGTCCCGCTCCTCCTCCCGCTCCAGGTCCAGGTAGGCATGTGAGGGCGTGGGGACGCCCACGCTGGCAGCTCCTGCAGGCCCCCACTGTCCCATGTCCCCACAGAAGCCGCAGCCGATCACGCTCCTCCAGAAGCCGCTCGCGCTCCAGGTCCAGATCCAGGTCCAAGTCTTACTCCCCGGGGAGGCGGCGCCGCTCCAGGTCTAGGAGCCCCACCCCACCGTAAGCCACTGGTGTGGGGCGTTCAGAGGCACCCCTGTTCTAAAGGGCACTCAAGACCACCTGGGCCAGCCCACGGGCCTTCCCACTCGCTTAACCGGCTGCGCACGGTGCTCTAGGGCCCATTGCAGGGGTCACTGGCTTACCACATGGCTCCCTTGATTCCAGCTCCGCAGCCGGCCTGGGTTCTAACTCAGCGCCTCCCATACCAGACTCAAGGCTCGGAGAAGAGAACAAAGGCCACCAAATGCTGGTGAAGATGGGTGAGTCCTGGGGTCAGTGCCGGTTCCCAGAACGCTTGACCGTGATGGGATCCTGTGGGCGTGGTCACCTTGCCATGCACATGTTCTTTACTCCCTGAAGGCTGGAGTGGGTCTGGTGGCCTCGGTGCGAAGGAACAAGGCATCCAAGACCCCATTAAGGGCGGCGACGTCCGGGATAAGTGGGACCAGTACAAGGGCGTGGGCGTGGCCCTGGACGACCCTTACGAGAATTACCGCCGCAACAAGAGCTACTCCTTCATTGCCCGAATGAAGGCCCGCGATGAGTGTGAGTAATGGTGTCGGTGGGCGGTGTGGACACGGCTTCGTGCTGGAAAGGTGGGTGACGGCCTTGTTCTCACAGTCTCCACGTTTGGGGCACGAAAGGAAGAGAAGGAAGACTAACGGAGGCCTTGGGCAGCGCTGCTCAGTGTGGAAGGGGCTCTGGCTCACGCGTGCCCTGGAGGAGGTGCTGCAGATATCTCCGCCTCTCAGTGCGGTGACAAAGCTCAAAACCAAGGCAACCCACACCCAGAACCCCAGCCCCACCCACGGTGCTGCACAGCCCGGAGCCAGGGAGTGCGGAAAGCCACCACACTGCCATGATGGCCGGAAAAGCTCAGAAGCCCAGCCTGTGTGCAGAGGCCAGAAGCAATTTCATTTTGGTTCCACCTGGTTTTGTTAGAAAAAATGGAGGCTGACCCCAGGGGTGCAGGGGTTGAGAGACCCCTGACTCCTCAGTTCACGGTTTAGGTTTATTTTTATCCCTTTCCTCAAAGGTCAGCTGTTTGCTGTTACCTGGACACAGCATTTAAGGGGACAGGGTTGAGCCTCTCGGGTCAGGAAAAGATGGCCTCCAGAGCCCTCCACCCAGCACAGCGCCTCAGCTTGCAGCTCCCGCCTGGGGAGCCCAACGCCAGGGAGGAGCACCCCAGAACATGGAGGACAGGGTGGGGCACCAGCCAGCACCTCCTGGGCTCTCGTTTGATTTGCATACCCCAGCCATTCCGGCAGGGAGGGAGCCGGGAGCATCTGGGGCTGTGGCAGTCTGATGCCAGTTGCTTGTAGAGACTGATGAAACGTTCTTTTCCATAAAATGCAGAGCCCTCTACAACCCCTCAGCACCACCTAAGACTTTTGTTTTAGATTCCCATAGCTGTGACGTGTGCAGATGCGTCAGACGTCAGATAAACAAGCAGACACATATGCTGTTAACTGATTGTGGATTTTACTGTTTTGCCTTCAAATAAAGCCTTTTGTAAAAGATCACTTTGTCCAGCTGTGGGTGAGGTGCACATGCCGTGGCGCAGGCTGTGTCCAACACCATGCTCAAAAGACCTGTCTCAGCGCCTGGCACAGAACACTCCCCCGTGGGCTGCTGGCTCCCTCTTGGATGATGCAGGCGCCCAGCATGCACGCACTGTCTGTTGCACTGACTCAGGGCTCCGTCCTGCTGTGAGTGGCCTGTAGCAGGTCCTCAGCTGTCCTCACGAGGTGTCTGCATGGTGGCCACTGTGCAGATGGGGGCTTAGAACCCATACGTGGTTGTTACTGAGCAGGGATGACCTGGGAGATCCCCAGCCTTGCCTGCCCCGCATGAATGAGGTAGACGGGTGCCCAGGTAAGCCTCACCTGCTGGGACTTGAAGCTCCTCCTTCACCTCCTCGAGGGCAGCCTCCATGGTCAGGGGTGCGGGCCTGTGACACCTAATGTACTGTAGAACACAGGATGGTAAATAAAATGATGCGTGCAGGCAACCAGGAAAGTGGTGTCCTGCAGTGAAGAGCACGGTCAGATTGGGAAGTATCAGTCCTAGGTAGGAGAGACGCCACATCAGACATCCCATTGTGACTGGGCGGGTGGGACACGTTTGGGAGGCTGAGGCTGGGGAATATAAAGTTCTGGGTCAGCCTGGGCTATACAGCAAGCACACAGTACCGGAGCCTGCAGGATGGCTGAGTGGGGCCCGATGACCTGACCTCAGTCCCCAGGACCACATGGGAGGGCACATTCCTGTCAGCTGCCCCTGACCAAATGAAACGGGAACTGGATATGCTGGCGTATGCCTGCACTTTGGAGGGAGGCTGAGGCAGGGGGCTTGCCATCTGTCAGAGGCTACAAGAGTGAGCCAGGTGGTGATGGCACACACCTTTAATCCCAGCACTCAGGAGGGGGATCTCTGAGTTCTAAGACCAGCCTGGTCTACAAAGGGAGTTCCAGGATGGGCAGGGCAACACAGAAACCATTTCCCCTAGAGAAGGGCAGGAAAGAAAGTAGGGAGGGTGCTCTCCTGAGTGACCCAAGAAACAAGCAGCTGTAGCCAGTCTGGTCTGGAAGGGCACAGGAGCCATCCCCGCCATGGTGTCCAGAGAGATGTCTGAGAGTACGGGCACCCCAGGCCCATTGCCAGCCTCAGGCCATCTCTGATGACCCCTCTTCCCAGAGCCGGAAGGTGAGTTGTGCCCCAGTTACCTCCTTGGTTTCCTCCAGGGTGTGATAGTGAAATGAGTCCCCATCCAGCGACTGCAGAAGGGACACGTGCAGATGGCGGCTGGCCTCGATGAACTGCCGTGTCAGGCTCAGCTGCTGCTTCAGCATGTCATTCAGTGCCAGCACCGCAGGGCTGTAGGCTGTCAGGGCTGCACCCACCCCGTCACTCAGTGGCTCTCTAGACACACGGGCCTGCAGGGGCACCCCTGAGGGCCACACCTCCCCCGAGTCCAGACTCCTGCAGACCTGCTGCTTTCTGGTCAATCTGCCCCTCCCAGCAATGAGACTTCCTGGGACCATTCTATGTTAGCCACACGACAATCATACATTAGCTCCACGAAAGGTCAAGAAAAGTCTTTCTTTAGTGGGGTGGGCATGGTGTCACATGTCTGTCATTGAAGAAGAGTATGAGGCACCAGGATCTGGGGCTTCAAGCCAGCCTGAGCTACGTGCTGAAACGCTCCACCCTCAAATACATAAAATGTTTGGTGTTTTTAAGAGACAGGGTTTCACTATAATCTCCTGCATTCAAGTGATCCCCCTGCCTCAGCTGCCCAAGTAGTTTTGATTACGGACTTTGGATTGCCAAGTTCCCTTAAAAGGGAACAAACCATGGTGAGGGCCGGGGAGGAGGGGAGGGAGAGGGAGCTGGGATTGACATGTGAAACAAGCTTGTTTCTAATTTAATTTAAAAAAGAAAAGGAACCAAACTGGCGTAGGGCAAAATGACCCAGTAGCGACCTTTTGACATTGCTGGGATGTGTTCAGGGCTTCTCTGGTGAGCTGGCCACCAGAGTTACTTCCAGACTCCTGGGTTTGATTAAACGTTGGTCTCCCTTCACCAGTGTCAGAAAGCGGTTCCAGCCTCCCTTAGGCTCTCCAACAAGATCCCCCCCTGGACTCTGCAAAGCTGGACCCGGGACAGAAGGACTGAGGCTGTTACCTTCTATAGCGTCCGCACTGACAACGTGACTGGCGATGGGTGCTGGGTCCACGTAGGCACCTCCGAGGGTGGGGCCAATGGCCGCCATGCCACCAGCTGGTCCAAGACAAAGACAGGCTGTTGAGTGCGGTACACGGACAATGAACCAAGCTGCTGCTGCCCATCCCTGTCTCTTTCTGGATTGCGTACTGGCTGGTTGGAAACGGGTTTGGAAGCCATGGTGCCCAAGTTTCCTTTGAGCTTCTGGGCTCCAGAAATCTGCCTGCCTCATCCTCTTGGCATCCAGGACCATATGTGCATGCGTGTGTGTGCCTGCGTGTGTGCGTGTGTGTGTGTCTGTGCCTGCGTGCGTGCGTGCCTGCGTGCGTTGTATGTGTGTCTGTGCGTGGGTGGGTGTGTGGGTGGGTGCGTGGGTGGGTGGGTGTGTGCCTGCGTGAGTACACGCTCGCGTGTAGACTGACCCTGATGTCAGGAGTCCCCACGCATGCCCACTTTATTCTGCATCTGGACGCAGCCTTCCAGGGCTGAAATGACAGGTGGGCCACCACAACTACCTGGCATTTACATTGGCTCTGCAGTTCCAGACCTCGAGCCTCATGTTTGCAAGGCCAGCACCTTCCCAGTCCCCACTGTTGACTTTAAAAGCGAATTCAGGTTTTCCCCCAAAGCAGGTGGGGTGTGGCTCAGTCCCGCACCATAAGTGGAGGCACAGGCCTATCATCCCAGCACTCAGGAAGCTTGGGCAGGAGATGAGTTCAGGGTCTGCTTCAGCTTCCTGTCCAATTTGAAGCCAACCTAGATCACATGAGACCCTTGTCTCAAAAGACAAACCAACAAGAAGCCCTAAAAGACACATACGTATGTGTGTGTGTGCGCGCACAGAACAAGGAGGAGGCCTAACACCTTCCAACGGCCAACTGGTCACTGGTGCCCTCCCCTCAGAAGAGCAGCTGAAGGCCCCTGGCCGCAACAAGGTCAGGCCAATGCACAGTGGAGCCCCAGTGGGGGTGGAGGTGGGAGCGGCCGGCGCAGGCGCTATGCGTGCTTGCAGCTGGCTAAGGAAGAGGGCCAGAGCAATGCTGGGAAGGGAAGGAGGCACTAGAGCACAGCTGGGAAGGAGAGAGACGTGGTGAGAAGAACGACCACCGGAAGACGTGGCCTCTAGGGTCACACTCATGACTGCAGCTCGGCGGCCCTCAGAAACTGCGCGGTCTGGACCACGTTTAGCGAGGACCTGGGTGCAGGGGGGTGACGACAGGCTGGTGGGTGGGTATCCTCCTGGCCCCTCCCTGTAGCATGCTTCTGGGCACCAGGAGCACTCTGCCGCAGGAGCACCCCGAATGTCCACAGACTTCACTGTCTTCCCAGGGTCTGAACTGGCCTTAGTCTTTGGCTCTGAAACCTAAGTTTCCGAGCTGGGAAGCTACCAGAAACACCCTAGCTGCTACCCCTTATCCTGGAAAGAAGAAACGGTGCCAGGATCCACCCCCCAGCTGGTTAATGACTAGCCCAGACTGGAGAGCCTGTGCTCGTCCACCTGTTCCCAAACACTGCAGCACCCCGTGGCCCAGGTTCCCACAGGTCCCCAGCTCACCCGTGCTCCACTGGTAGGCAAAGGCGGGGTCAAGCGTCTGCACAGCTGTCTCCTTCACAACTCTACTAACACCTTGGCCCCACTTTGTCCTCGATAGGGATTGTCCGGGAGGTGGATCTGACCGCCCCCTGGAAGAAAACTGTGACAAAGTGTCCTGTGTCCTGCTGAAGGATGCCTCTGAGGCCAAGGACCCAGAGGATGGCTCAAAATCCTCAGAGTAAGCGGGGCTGGCGGTGAGTGCAACGAGAGCCTCCACAGACTGCATGCTGGGCACGCTGTGAGACTGGGCAGTTGCAGCGGAGCTGTCAGCCAGATGCTCTGAGACCTCGGTGGTGAGACACTCCTCATCAGCAACCACAGTGGCCGTGCTCTGAAATACAGAGCTCTTATGCTGGGCCGCCCTCTGTTCTTCCAGTCGAGTGGGTGACGAGGGTGGAGAGCTTCTGCCTGACATCTCTTCCCTTCCAGAACCTTCCTCCTAAAAGGAGCAACGGCAGCAGAGCCAACGGGGATTTTAGAAAGCTGAGACAATGCCCCTTCAGTCAGGCACAGCAGCATACATCTGTGACCCAGAACTCTCAAGGGGACTGTAAATTCTAGGCTAGCCTGGGCTACATAGCAAGACCCTCTCTCAGAAACAAACAAGTAATCCAAGCTGAGCAGTAAACACCTTTAATCCCAGCACTTGGAGGCAGGGGCAGAAGAATCAGGAGTATAAGACCAGCCTTAGCTACACAGTGAGTTGGAGGCCAGCCTAGGCTACACAAGACCCTGTCTCAGAAAATGCTTGTAATCTCATCCCTTGGAACACAGAAGCAGAAGGACTACCTAGTTTAAAGTCAGACAAGGCTACAGAATGAGGCCCTGTCCTCCTGATCTCCCCCAAAGAAAAGAATTAGAAATATTTTTCTAGCCAGGCAGTGGTGGCGCATGCCTTTATCCCAGAACTCAGGAAGCAGAGGCAGATGGATCTCTGTGAGTTCGAAGTCAGTCTGATCTACAGAGTGAGTTCTAGAACAGAAAGGGTTACATAGTGAGACCCTGTTTCAGAAAACAAAACAAAACAAAACAGTGGTTCTGATCACTACTTTTTTGATTTTTGAAAAAGGGTCTCTCTATGTAGTCCTAGCTATCTGGAATTCACTGTGTCTGGCCTCAAACTCACAGAGATCCTCCTGCCTCTGCCTCCTGAGTTTTGGGATTAATGGAGTGTCCACCAGATCTGGCTTGATCATTTTGTTTAAAAATGTTCTTATTACATTTATTTAGTGTGTATGTGTGTGCATGTGTTATTTTGTGTATGCAAATGTGAGCACACGTGTGATATAGTGTGCACATACAAGTGAGTGCATGTATGTTATTCTGTGTGTGCACATTTGAGAGCATGCATGTTATTTAGTGTGTGTGCACTTGCAAGCATGTGTGACACTCCAAGGCCAAAGACGGAGTCAGTAGAAACTGGGGATTGAACTCAGGGTGCCAGGCTTGGAGGCAAGTACCTTGACCTGCTGAGCATCTTGCCTGCCATGGGGTCCCTTCCAGACTTAGTCTCTCTCTCCCTCCCTCCCTCCCTGACTCTCTACCTCCCTCCCTCCCTCTCCCTCTCTCTTTCTCTCCCTCCCTCCTCCATCTCCCTCCCCCTTCTCCCCCCCCCCCCCACTCTCTCCTCTCTTGCTCTCTTTGCTTTTTTTTTTTTTTGGTTTTTTTTTTCGAGACAGGGTTTCTCTGTGGCTTTGGAGGCTGTCCTGGAACTCGCTCTGTAGACCAGGCTGGCCTCGAACTCACAGAGATCCGCCTGCCTCTGCCTCCCGAGTGCTGGGATTAAAGGCGTGCGCCACCAACGCCTGGCTGCTTTTTTTTTAAGACAGGATTTCTCTTTGTAGCCTTGCCTATCCTGGAACTTGTTCTGTAATCCAGGCTGACCTCAAACTCCCAGAGATCCGCCTGCCTCTGCCTCCCAAGTGCTGGGATTAAAGGCGTGCACCACCAACACCCATAGGCTAAACTGTGGGACTCTTGAGATGGGAGCCAGAACATTCTTTGGATTATTGACCACTGCAGGACACTAAGCAGTCTCCCTGGCATCCACTCCTACAGATGCTAGTGCCCCGAAGTCAACCAACAGGTCCCTAAATGTTGCCAACGTCACCAGAGGGACAGGACTGCTGAGACTGAGCTTCATAGCCTAAACAGAAGAGTCCAGCTGCAAACTTGCTACACTTTAACAGACTTGTGGTGGGTGTGGCTCAGAGGCAGGTCACTTGCCCAGCACAGGCCACACCCTGAGTCTGTCCCCAAAAGTGTAAAAAAGTAAATTAGGGCTGTTGAGATAGCCTAAGTGGGAAACCCACTTGGCAGTCTGTGCTCCATCCCTAGGACTCCCAGGGTGGAAGGAGGGAGCCAATTTCATCCCCCACCCGTGTGTGAGGTGTGGCGCACAAAGCGGAAACGTGTGGGCCACACCTGTAGCCCCAGCACTGGGGAGGCAGAGGCAGGCGGAGCTCCGTGAGTTTGCACCCAGTCTAGTTGACAGGGGGCGCTCTGGGATGGTCAGGACTACATAGTGAAACCCTGTCTAATTTAAAACAAAAAAAGGCAAACTGATCCAATCATACTTACTCTCTGTTCCACGTCTGAGTTCTCTCCCTCAGCCAGTACCAGATCATCAACGGACAAAACATTAATTCTAAAATCTGTAATTAAAAAATAAGTGCACTGTAGGTGAGCCGGCTCTGCAGGTAAAGGTGCTTGCAGTCAAGCCTGACAGTCTGAGTTCAACCCCTGGGACCCACATGGGGCGAAAGGAGAGAGCTGACTTGCTAGTTGTCCTTAACTGCACATGGGCACCATGGGCTCCCTCACGTATCATACAATAAAGAAAAAGAAGCCAGGGGCAGCCGGGCGTTGGTGGAGCACGCCTTTAATCCCAGCACTCGGGAGGCAGAGGCAGGCGGATCTCTGTGAGTTCGAGGCCAGCCTGGTCTACCGAGTGAGTTTCAGGACAGCCTCCAAAACAATACAGAGAAACCCTGTCTCGAAAAACCAAAAAAAAAAAAAAAAAGAAGAAGCCAGGGGCTGGAGAGATGGCTCACTGGTTAAGAGCACTGACCGCTCGTCCAGAGGACCTGAGTTCAATTCCCAGCACCTACATGGCAGCTCACAACCATCTGTAACAGCTTCTGGTGTGCAGATGGACATGCAGACAGTGCACCCATATACATAAAATGTATAAATAAGTAAATCTTTTAAGGCACACGCCTTTAATCCCAGCACTCAGGAAACTAAGGCAGGTGGACGGATCTCTGTGAGTTCTGGGTGAGCCTGGTCTACATAGTGAGCTCTAGGACAGCCAGGCTATGCTGAGAGACCCTGTCTCGAAAACACAACGACATGAATCTGGGAGAGGGACTGATGGGTGGGGAGACACTCCCAGAATGTACTCCACTCGTGTATAAGATTGTCAAAGAACAAAACTACACAATTACTGAAGTGGAGAATACAGCTCTCTATCAAATGTCAGTTCTGTCCCTCAAGGCCCCTCAACAGAAGCATTTCCTGCCCTTCCTCACCCCACCCAGTGATGATGCAGCCCGCAGAGACCCCTGCAAGTCAGCCTCTGCTCTCTGAATTACGCAGCCTGGGCTGTAGCTCAGAGGTACAGCACTTGCCTGGCATGCATGAGGCCCGGAGTTCAATGCCCAGCACTGCTAAATGAACTAATTAAATAAATAGCTCAGGATGGGAAAAGTTTTTGAGATAAGGTGCCATATAACCCAGATGGTGTCAAACTTAGTAGGTACCCAAGGGTGGCCATGAAGCCCTGGTCCTCCTGCCTCTACCTACCTCCCCGGTCCCCTGCTAGGATGACAGATGGGTACCACCACAACTTTTTTTTTTTTTTTCCGTTTTACAGACAGGGTTTCTCTGCGGCTTTGGAGGCTGTCCCAGAACTAGCTCTTGTAGACCAGGCTGGTCTTGAACTCATAGAGATCCGCCTGCCTCTGCCTCTCGAGTACTGGGACTAAAGGCGTGCACCACCAATGCCCAGCTGCCCACCACAACTTTTAATTTTCTTTCTTAGATTTATTTATGAGTATTTGTATGTTTGTATGTGCACCACGTGTGTCTAATGCCTGCCGAGTCCAGAAGAGGGCGTCAGATCCCCTGGAACTGGGGTTACAGGCAGTTGTGAGCCACCACATGGATGCTAAGAACTGAACCTGGGTCCTCTGCAAGAGCAGCCAGTGCTCTTAGCTACTGAGCCGTCTCTCCGGTACCACCCACAGCTCTTGAGTGTGTTTCCCTGTCTTTGACCAAGGCTTGACTGTGGAGAGAGCAGACTCAGGTCTAGGGCTGGTGGCCTGTCTTCTCAACACTCACTGGTAGAGGTATGGGGACAGATAAACGAGGCACCAAGACAAGCTATTATCTCAAGAAAGCAAGGGATCTGCACTGTACCAGCCTCCGTCTCTACAGCATCGAGGGGAAGATTTTCAACTGACTGGCAGTTTACCCAGGCCTGCTGCAGATGTCAGACTCGCCACCTACACACCCACTGCCCACCGCAATGCCACGGGACAGCAGACTGGGCACACTGACGTTAGCCTCACCCTTCCCCCCAAAGTGATGGGTTACCATGGAGGCTGTCATCAGCAACTTCTGAGACTGGCTCCTCTGGAGATCTCCCCTCACTCCTGCTAGGGGAGGAAGCCAGCCTGATGCACCCCATCTTTGAAAATGCTGATTTTGAAAGGTCATTTGTGGTGGAAGGCGAGGATGTGAGGGAGGCTGTGTCTCCAGCCTTGAGAACCCACGGAGAGTCCAGCCGATGTGAGGGACGAGAAGGCTTTGAACCAGAACAGTCCACACTGAGCAGAGACGGGACTTCTGGCTGAGTTGGAGTCTGATCCTACTTTTGCAAAAAGAAAGGACTGAAGTTACCAAACTTAAATCACATAAACTCTTTTTTGTTTGTTTGTTTGTTTGTTTTTTGAGACAGGGTTTCTCTGTATTGTTTTGGAGGCTGTCCTGGAACTCGATCTGTAGACCAGGCTGACCTCAACTCACAGAGATCCTCCTGCCTCTGCCTCCTGAGGGCTGGGATTAAAGGCATGCGCCACCACCGCCCGGCTTCACATAAACTCTTACCATACCACAGAGCCACTGATGGCTCATGTTGCAAAGGCACTTGCTGTAAGTCTGAAAGTTTGAGTTCAATCCCTGGGACCCACGTGGTGAACAGAAGTGAATGGAACTTGGTGAATTGACCTCTGAGCTCCATGTACACACATGTACACACACACTCTCTCGCAAATACATAAATGTTTAAAACAATCTACTCTAAGGGACAATGACCAAGCAAGGTACCTGCCATTTGAGCATAAAGACATGAATTTGATCCCCGAATTGTGGGTATGGAGGTGTACACGTTTCATTCCAGCGCTGGGGAGGCTAACACTCACGGATCCCTGGGCTCACTGGCCAGTCAGTCTGGGCTCAGCAGTGAGCCCCAGGCCATTAAGACCTTGCCTCAGAAAGGAAGGTGGACAGTCGCTGAGGAAGGGCAGCCAAGATTGATGTCTGACCCCCACACACTTCTCTCTGATCAGCCATTTCTGGAGGTCAGCTACACATTTAGATGATGATGGGGTTGGGCATAGCTGGGGCAGGAGGATCTCAGGTGCTGAGGTTCTCCCCTGGGTTCGGATTCTTCACCCAGCCTAGGAGGTCAATGCAGGTACAGCCAAGGGCAACAGCGCCCCTGCTGGTCCCATCTAGAGGCATTCCTACCCAGCTCATGGGGTGAGCACCACATGAACGCCTTACGAAGAGCCCCAGGTGACAGCCTTCCCGAGCTGAACTGCTCCAGGGTCTCCCTGAGTGACAAGCACCTGCAGTCACTTGACACTTGCTCAGAGCAGATGCCAGGGACTTCCAAAGTGCTTCAGCACGCTTACGTCTGTAACTACGCTTCCGCGATGGTCACTCACAACTTAGCGTGTTGTCCTCTGTAAGAAGGTTTTTGCTACACAGAGAATACAAGACTAACGCATGTGTGTCCTGCATAGTCAGAGTCCTGTGAGACTCGTGGGTGAGAACCTGAAGGAGGGACAGAACCCATCCACACAGGGGACAACCCAGCACAGCCGTGAGCCCTAGGAGACATGGCTGATACCCACAAGGTGACTGAGAAAACATTCTGCGACAGCCCAGGCCTGCACACACAACAAAGTGATCAAAGGGGTCTTGTGAGAGCAATAAGGTTGTGGAAATCCCAGTGTTGCGGCAGGTGGCCTCCCTAGGAAGGCCCCTAAAACAACTGTCACGGCTGGACAGGGAGGCTGGACCGCTGAGGATGTCACAAGCTTTGGCTGCAGGACTTGGAATAGTAAGGCTAGGACTAAGCCCAGATGCACGCCTATAAGACAGGTGTTCAAAAGGCTGAGGCTGGCGGACCTCTGTTTGTCACTGGCCCCTGTCTGGGGGAGGAGATGTCTACTCGCCTGTCCCTGGCCATGGTGCCACACAACAGCTTGCTCCCCCTGGCCAGCACTCAGCTTCCCCACAGCCCAAGGCCACTCAGGCACCTCCAGTCCACAGTGGGCTGAGCCCTCCACATCAGTAAATAATCAGGACAATTCCTCAGAGCCCAGGGGTAGGCCCATTGATGTGGGCCATCCTTCGATTGGTTTCTCTCTTCCCAGGCAGCTTCTGGTTGTGTCAAGCTGTCAGTTAAAGCTAGTTAGGACAAAGCACTTGCTGCTCTTTCTTGAATGGCACCCGAGTCTGGCTCCCAGCACTCACATCAGGTTGCCTCAGAGCCGTCTCCATCTCTAGCTCCAGAGGATCAATGCACATGCGGGGTGTCACAGGGCACATATACGCACAAATGGGGGCCTCTGAGGGTGTAGCTCACTAGCCAGCCATCTGCTCTGTCCCCAGAATGACAGTTAGAAACATTGAAACCAACAAGAAAACCTTACCGAAGACAGTTTTCCATGATCGATCCTGCTGACTTTGGTGCTGGTGAGCCCCCGATTCCTATTTGTTTCTTTTTCTCCTGAAGAGTCCATCAAGCTTCCAAGCAATACTTTCATTTCCTCTTCGTCACTGTCGGGAACATCACATTTTCTAGCAGGTTCTTTCTGTCTGGGTAGTGGGATGTGCTTCTCTTTCTCCACTGTGGGTACCGGGGACCTAGCTTTAGGGGGTGGCTCTTTCTTCTTAAGAAACCTGCTGCCTTCCCCACTTGGCGCATCGCTCCTTGCTGTGGGGGTTTTACAGGCTTGCTTCTGGAAGGTTGTGTGTGGATGATGAGAAGGAAGACTCAGCTCTGTGATCTTCGAGTCAGACTCTGTGTCAGACAAAGCCGTGGGCGCCTGCTTCCGACTCCGGATCTTGGTTTCCATCCGGGCCAGCTTCCTAAGGGCCTCATCGGCTCTGGTTTTGGAGGAGATGGTTGGGGCCCTCAAGGCCAACCTTGGTCCCTTCCCTAGCATGGCCTCCTCTTTGGGCATCAAATATTTCTCATCCATCCTTTGGTTCCTCTTTAGGGTTCGGTTCAGCCCGGGTGCCATTTGGCCAAGACCTCGGGCTTGCATGCTTCTTATGTCCTCCATCCTTGAGTCCTCTAAGAACATATCTCTGAAGTCAAAAGCACCACGAGGAGGGCCAATGGGCCTTCTTGTGGAAGCCATTCTAGGAAAACCAAGATTGTATTTTTAGTTTTTTAAAGTACTTATTTTATTTATTTTTTGTTTCATTTTTCTTTTTCAATACAGGGCTTCTCTGTGTAACCCTGGCTGTCCTGGAACTCACTATAGACCAGGCTGACCTCGAACTCAGAGATTTGCCTGCCTCTGCTGGGATTAAAGAAGTATCACCACTGCCTGTCTAAAAGCATATTTATATATTATGTATACATCGTCCCTCCTGCATGTATCCCTGCAGGCCACAAGAGGGCGCCATATCTCATTACAGATGATTGTGAACCACCAAGTGGTTGCTGGGACTTGAACCCAGGACCTCCACAAGAGCAGCCAGTGCTCTTAACCACGAAGCCAACTCTCCAGCTTTTTTTTTTTTAAGATTTGATTGCATTTTATTTACTGAGCGTGAGTTCACCCTGTGGAGGTCAGAGGCCAACAGAACATTTGGTTCTCCTCATCACTCCCACCTTTCCACTGGGCCTCCCTGGCCCAGCACGGCTTCTTAAAGAGACTCCCTTATTCCTCTCCCGCATCCCACAGCTCCCGTGTGGCAGAAAATCAGTGACTGCTAGAGTTTGCACACAGTTAGTCTCCACACACGATGAGAAAGGAAAGGAAAAGACGCAGGGTCATAAACCTGGAGTTACTATGTGAGCCACTCCAAAGGGGCCCAAATGGAAATGTATGTGCATCTGCACAGATCATTCACAAAATACAAACCTGGGGACTCTCCTGACGGAGAGTCAGAGAGCAGGGCAAGCAGAGAGTAGGATACTACTCAACTTGAAAATCGGAGGACTTGCCCGCCACGACCTGAGTTTATTCCAGAACCCACATGGTTGTCCTCTGACCAAGCAAATGAATGTATACTTTTTTAAAAAGTTTTATATATTCACGGGCACCGGGGAGCATGACACGATCGCAATCTCAGCACTTCGAAAGTACAGCAGGAAGATCAGGAGTTGAAGGCCAGCCTCGGCTACACAGGGAGTTAGTTCCATGCCAGCCTGGGCGACCAGAGAAGCGAGGACTAACAAGACACAAAGGAACTAAGCATTGCACACTGCCGCCACGCAGTTTCCTCGCCCTTTGGGCAAGCCCTACGGGATCGCCCTCCAGACCGGGAAACTGAGGCGCGGGAATGGAGCTCCCTTCCCCGCACTACCCCGCTAACCCAGGTGCTCACTGTGAGGTCACCTCAGTAGCAGCGTTGGTTTCTTCCCGCATGGCCCTGCCGCTACGACAGCGGCGGGCTTCGGCCGCAAAGCGAAGGCCTGGGGGTGCCGTTGCCCCAGGAGACCGCGCCAGCGCCGTAGGAGACTACATCTCCCGTCGGACACCGTGCTTCGCCCACCAATGAGCGCCTCGGGTCACAATCGCGGGGCGTCACGGGAACGGTAGTTCCAGCGCGTCCACTCAGGGGCCCTCTGGTCACAATCGCGAGGCATGACGGGAGTTGAAGTTTCTGGGTCGTGGCCGGAGAGCCGGGCAGACTCCTGAGAGCGGAAGAGCGGGAGTCGCGCGTGCAGCCATGGTCCGGGGTCGCGTGTCGCTCTGGGTCATCTGCGTGCTGCGCGTGGCGCTGGCCACTGTGTACTTCCAGGAGGAGTTTCTAGACGGAGGTGAAAGCGGTGGTTGTGGTGGGCGGAGCTCTTGTCCCCCGGCCGTGCCCCTGATGGCGAGCACGGGCGGCTAACGCTCCTGTCTCCCCACAGAGCGCTGGAGGAACCGCTGGGTGCAGTCCACCAATGACTCCCGGTTCGGCCACTTCAGAATCTCGTCCGGGAAGTTCTATGGGCATATAGAGAAAGACAAAGGTTAGTGTAGAGTCGGAGAACTAGAGGAGTTGGAAAGCCGACGGCACCCTGCCAGCGCAGCCGCCGCGCAAGCCAGGGTACTGAGTGACACACGTGCCACACCTCGCTTAGGTGTCCATTAGTTTAAGGTTGGGTGGGAGCCGGGCAAAGCTACACAGAGAAACCCTATGGGGGGGGGGAGGTTGGATATATTTTGGTTTTAGTTTTTGAGACAGTGTCATGTAGCCCAAGACGGTCCTAACTCCCAGCAGTCCTGGTGCTGGTTCCTTTTCATGTATCCTGTGTGTTTTGGGGGCGCTGTGTGCCCTGCCTGAGCCCTGGGGTGACAGCCAAGGTGCTCTGGAGTCTTCCTGAGGCCTGGAATAACAACGGGACCTACAAGAACGAGCGTTTCGTCCTTTTTTCAGTAGTAGCCCAAGACCACCTCACTTTGTGACAACAAGACTGTGTGTGGCACACACTTATGAGGAAAATCACAAGTTCAAGACCAGCCTGGCTATTTAGTGAGCTCTGGGCCAGCCTAAGATACAGCCATCTCTTGTCACAAAACAAAATAGGGGACAATCAAAATGAAAAAATGGGCCCAACAAGATGGCTCAGCAGGTAAAGGAGCTTGTGGCCAAGCTTGATGACCCGAGTTTGAGCCCCAGAACCCACAGGGTGGAAGGAGAGGAGAACCTATGCCTACAAATAAATTATCCTCCAACACCACAAAATAAATAAATGAATGTAATTTTTGTTTTGTTTATTTTCTTAAGATAGGGTCTCTATTTGTAGCCCTGGTTGCCCTGGAACTCATTGAGATCAGCTTGCCCTGGCTCTGCCTCTTGCGTACTGAGATTAATGGCATGCACCACCATAACTGGCTAATTAATGTAAGCTTTAGCGGGATGATGGTGAACAAGCTTTTAATCCCAGCACTCAGGAGGCAGAGGCAGACAGATCTCTATGAGTTTGAGACCAGCCTGGTCTACAGAGAGAGTTCCAGCACAGCTATAGCTACACAGAGAAACCCTGTCTCAAAAAACAAACAAAAAAGAAAACCCTGTCTCTAAAATAAATAGGTAAATAAAATAGATATTAGCAGGAGAATTAAAAGGTCAAAGTCGGGGCTGGAGAGATGGCTCAGAGGTTAAAAGTACCAACTGCTCTTCCAGAGGTCCAGAGTTCAATTCCCATCAACCACATGGTGGCTCACAACCATCTACAATTCAATCTGGTGCCCTCTTCTGATATGTAGGCAGAACACTGTATATGTAATAAAATAAATCTTTAAAAAAAAAGGTCAAAGTCATCCTTAGCTACGTAGCAATTTCAAGGACAATCTCGGATACACAAGAGCTTGTCTGGAGAAAAAAGTTAGTTTATCTGAGATAGGTTCTCTCTAGGAAACTGGGACCAGCCTGGGACTCCAGCCTTCTGCCTCAGCAGCGCGTGCCTGGCTCACAGGTGTGAGTCACTATGCTGGCAAGTTTTTGTTGAAACAGCAACACAGATGAAACTCAGTCACAGCTGCTCATTTACATATCCCTCGGATGTTACAAAGTAGTCAAAGAATTGAGGCGCAGACCCGGTGACCCACTGGGTCTAAAATACCCACCGCGTAGAAGGGGTTGGGGCTCAGTCTTGCCTCGTATGCACAGCCTCGGCAATAAAGAAGCTGGGTGCGATGACAGCCTCGGCATTACAGAAGCTGGGTGCGATGACAGCCTCGGCATTACAGAATCTGGGTGCGATGACAGCTTCCGCATTACAGAAGCTGGGTGTGAGCACAGCCTCGGCATTACAGAAGCTGGGTGTGATGACAGCCTCGGCATTACAGAACCTGGGTGTGAGCGCATCCTCGGCATTACAGAAGCTGGGTGCGAGGACAGCCTCGGCTTTACAGAAGCTGGGTGTGAGCGCAGCCTCGGCTTTACAAAAGCTGGGTGCGAGCGCAGCCTCGGCATTACAGAAGCTGGGTGCGAGCGCATCTTCGGCATTACAGAAGCTGGGTGCGAGCGCAGCCTCGGCATTACAGAAGCTGGGTGCGATGACAGCCTCGGCAATACAGAAGCTGGGTGCGATGACCGCCTCGGCATTACAGAACCTGGGTGTGAGCACAGCCTCGGCATTACAGAAGCTGGGTGTGAGCACACCCTCGGCATTACAGAAGCTGGGTGCGATGACAGCCTCGGCAATACAGAAGCTGGGTGCGAGCGCAGCCTCTGCATTACAGAAGCTGGGTGCGATGACAGCCTCGGCATTACAGAAACTGGGTGCGAGCGCAGCCTCGGCATTACAGAAGCTGGGTGCGAGCGCAGCCTCGGCATTACAGAAGCTGGGTGCGAGCGCAGCCTCGGCATTACAGAAGCTGGGTGCGAGCGCAGCCTCGGCATTACAGAAGCTGGGTGCGAGCGCAGCCTCGGCAATACAGAAGCTGGGTGGGAGCGCAGCCTCGGCAATACAGAAGCTGGGTGCAATCGCACTAGGAGATGGAGGAAGCCGGCCTGGAGGGACATGCTTTTAATCCCAGCACTCGGAAGGCAGAGACAGGCAGATCTCTGTGAGTTTGAGACCAGCCTGGTATACATAGTGAATTCCAGAATAGCCAGGGCTACATAATAAGACCCTGTCTTAGAGGGAGAAAAAAAAAAGTAGAAATAATAATATAAACTAATTTAAAAAGCAGAAACAAAGCCCCTCCCGCTTTAGGACTGAAGTGGACGAAAGGAGGCAGCTATGGCATGGGTGAACCACAGGGTGTGGCTGCTCTCTGCCCATTGTGATTTTCCTGTCCCGCCAAAACCCTGGTTAGTAAGAGCAGCAGCCCAGGCCTGGCGGCTGGGGCTCTGGAAATCTGGGGTCCCTGCATGGTCTCCGGGAACCATGACTTAGTCACAAATGGAAAGATGCAAGGAATTTAGACATGTGGGAGGTGGCAGGAGAAAATGGGGTCCCTGGACACAGAAGTGGGGGATTGCCTGGTCTGGGGTAGAAGTTAGGATGGGGCTCTGAATCCCATGTGGCAGTGGGGAGCCAGCTCCAAGTTGAGGCTTACATGCGTGTTGACTGTTGAGATGGGCTGTTGAGCTTGGTACCCAGCCTGACTCCATGGATTTGAACCCTAGGACCCACATAGTTGAAGAAGAAACCTGATTCTCACAAGTGGTACTCTGACCCTCACATGTGTGCTATGACACATACTCGCCTCATCCTAACACACATAAAAATAAATGATTATTTAAAAAATCTAAAGAGCCAGGTATAATGGTGTACATCTTTGATCCCAGCACATGAGAGACAGGGGCAGGCAGATATCTAGGATAGCCAGGTCTATGTAGAGAGAGTCTGTCTCAAGCAAAACAAAAGAAACAAAAAGACCAAAAAATGAAAGAAAGAAAAGACCAAGTTCGTTTCGGGGGGTTGGGGTTGTTTGGTTGGTTGCTTGCTTTGTCGGTTTTTGGTTCTGTTTATTTTGAGACAGGGTCGAACTATGCAGCCCTCACTACTGTGGGGGGCCAGTCTGGCTTCACACTCACAGAGATCTGCCTCTCTGTACCTCCCCAGTTATGGGGTTTAAAACACAAGCCACTCCAACCAGACATTAATTTTGGATTTTAATACTTTAAGTTATTTTACTTGTGTGTAGAATGTTCTGCCTGCCTGCATGTTTGTGCACCACCTGTGTGGTGTCTGAAGAAATCAGAAGAGAACATTGGATGCCCTGGAACTGGGGTCACAACCTGTCCAGAACCGCCACGTGGGGCCTGGGAATCAAAGCCGGGTCTTCTTCTAGAACAGCCAGTGCTCTTAGCTGCTGAGCCATCTCTGCAGTCCCTGGTTTTACTTTTGTTTTTTTGAGATAGGGTCTCAATGTGTATCCCTGATTGGCCTGGAATTCACCATCCACCTGCCTCAGCCCCAGAGTGCTAGGCTATGACACACACCTGTTCTGCCTTCGGGTAACACGGGGTAATAAATACCCAGAGCTGGTCATGCGGCTCACACGTGTCATAGCACTCTCAGTGAAGGCAGGAGGATGAGGAGTTCCAGTCAGTCTTCCTGTGCTGGCTGCATGTCAACCTGATGCAAGCTTGGCCATCAGAGACATCGACCCACAATTGAAGGAATGATCCTGGTATTGGCCTGCAGAGGAGCCCTACAGGCGTTTTTCTCAGTGAGTGACTTGGGAAGTCACTGTGGACAATGGTGCCCTGGGATGGTGTCCTGGGGCATACGTGCTGTGGCGCACGCCTTTAATCCCAACACGGAGGGGGGGGGGCAGAGGCAGGCGGAGCTCTGTGAGTTTGAGGCCAGTGAGTCTAAAAGGGAGTTCCTGGACAGTCTCAAAAGCTACAGAGAGAAACCCTGTCTCTCAAACCAAAAAAAGAAAAAGAAAAAAGGTGCAGGTCGAGCCGGGCGTTGGTGGCGCACGCCTTTAATCCCAGCTCTCGGGAGGCAGAGGCAGGCGGATCACTGTGAGTTCAAGACCAGCCTGGTCTACCGAGCGAGTTCCAGGACAGCCTCCAAAGCCACAGGGAAACCCTGTCTCGAAAAAAAAAAAAAAAAAAAAAAAAAAACAGGTGCAGGTCGAGCAAGCCATGGAGACAGAGCGGGCAGGCTGCCTTCCTCCGCGGCTCTGCTTCAGCTCCTAGGACCCTGGCCCCACTTCCCTCATGGTGGACTATGAGCTGTAAGGTGTGGTAAACCTTTTTCTCCTCAAACGGCTTTTGGTCATGGTGTTTATCATAGCAACAGAAACGCTAAGATAACTTGGCTAAATAAATGGGGAGTTTTAGACCAGCCTAGGCTACATGAGAACCTGTCTCAAAAAAAAAAAGCATTTGTTTTCTTCAGTAGCTACAACCTTCATTGTATATTCTTGCCTCATCGATATTAAGGTAGCAAAATTAAGCTTTTGCATATTACATCTAGAGGTGTGTGGCATAGGCAACGTGGGTATGCGCTGAAGAGACCAGAGAGGACACCTGGGGTCCTGCTCCCTCACTCTCCACCTTATTCCCTTAAAACGGCCTTTCACGGAATGTGGAGTCTAGGTACTTAGTGGCCAGGGAGTCCCAGCCATCCTCCTGTCTCCACCACAAATGCTCACACACGAAACCAAGTCATAGGCATGTGTAGCCACATGTAGCTTTTTAAAATGAGCGCTGGGGCTTGAAACTCCGGTTCTCTTGCCTCCACCCCAGGGAGGCCTCCCTCCCACCCTCTCAGCCATCTCTGCAGCCCCGCCCGCCGTGTGTGTGCCTGTGCGCGTGCGCGCGCGCGTGCGCGTGTGTGTATGCCCATGTGTGCGTGCGTGTGCGCGTATGTGTGCGTGTGCTTGCTGAGACACACATGTGAAAGGTGAAGGACCCACCATGCGGGTCCTGAGGACCCCGCTCAGACTCTGGCCTGCTGAGCCATCCTATTGGGTCTTGTGTTGATTTTGAGGTGGCTTCATGTAGCCCAGGCTGACCTCAAACTCCTGACCCGCCTCCCAAGTGCTTGGATGTGTGTCACCACTCCCACTATACATGGTGCTGGGGATGGAGCCCCAGGACTCATGCCCACTAATTGAGCTTCCCAGTGAGCTGTATCCCAGGTTAGTAATTTCATACCCTAAAGCGTGGCAGTGGCGGCATTGAGGCTGGGCTCCAGAGGGAGAGCCCTTGCTGAGCATGTGCCAAGTCCTGTGTTCTGTCTGCACCCAATATTAAAAACAAAGGCCGGGCGGTTAGTTAGTCCCTGCACTCGGGAGGCAGAGGCAGGCAAATCTCTGAGTTCAAGACCAACCTGGTCTGCAAGAACTAGTTCCAGAACAGCCTCCAAAGCCACAGAGAAACCCTGTCTCAACCATCCCCCCCATGTCCCTTTTGGGTGTGGTGGCACATGCCTTTAATCCCAGTACTCCTGAAGCAGAGGCAGGGGATCTCTGAGTTTGAGGCCAGTATGGTCTACATAGTGAGTTCCAGGACAGCCAGGGTTACACAGTGAGACCCTGTCTCAGAAAAAAAAAATAGCAAGAGTGTATTTTGTGTGTGTGTGTGACAGGTGATGCTGTAGTGGGGACACATGTGTCATGATTGATTGCATGTAGAAATTAGAAGACAGCTTTTGGGGGTTGCCGCTCCTTCTGTGACATGGGTTTAATTCAGGTCATCAGGCGCGACTGCAAGCGCCTTCACCCACTGAGCCATCCCACTGGCCCTAGCAAAGGATGCATCGCGTCCTAGGGCATCTGGGTGTGTGAAGCCCAGGTCCCTGGCAGCAGAGAACGGTGGCGTCCTTGGTGCACACTGACTGCCCTGTGCAAACAGGAGCTCTGTTGCTGAGGGCCACCGGGGACAGGAACTTGAGGTCCCAGCAGGCTGAGGAGAGCAATCCGTTCTGACTCCATCTTGCTCACTTTCTGTTGGAAGGCCTGCAGACAACCCAGAACAGCCGATTCTACGCCATCTCTGCCAGCTTCAAGCCATTCAGCAATAAAGGGAAGACCCTGGTGATCCAGTACACAGTGAAGCACGAGCAGAAGATGGACTGTGGCGGCGGCTACATCAAGGTGTTCCCCTCTGACCTGGACCAAAAGAATATGAATGGAAACTCTCAGTACTACATCATGTTTGGTGAGTTCAGCGGGGAGGCCAAGGGTTTCCAGCGTCACACTGAGGCCCTGCTGGCTGAAGTAACTGAGCAGTATTGAACCCATCCGACCCAAAGTTTGTAGCACTGTTAATCCAGCCAGCACAGGCTAAGTGTGCTCGGGACTAAGAATCAAGAAGCCAAAGGCTCTGAATCTGAACCCGACTTTTAAGATAAGTTTGTTTATTCACTTAATTTATGTGGATGTGTGTGCAGCACGTGCATGTGGATGGCTGTGGAGACCAGAAGAGGGTGTCAGCTCCCCTGGAGCTGGAGTTAGAGGTGGTGCTGGGAACAGAACCTGGGTCCTCTGCAAGAGCAGCCAGCTCTCCTTACGGCGGAGCCATCTCCGCAGCGCCAGTAACCTGGAGCCAGTGCTTTCCCCTCCTCCCTTTGGGTTCGGGACTTGAACTCAGACCTTCAGGCCTGGTGGCGAGTGCCTTTACTTGCTGGGCCATCTCACCAGTCCTGAACATGGCTGTGTGCTGAAACCCAGGACCTTGTAGACACACTAACCCTAAGCTACAACCTCACCCCTGAAACTTGTTGAGTGTTGAGACCACAATGAGCTGGCCACACACACGCACTCACACATATACACATACATCACACACATGAAAAAATGCATATATGCATGCATGCATACATACATACATGCATACATACATACATACATACATGTTTGTTTTGGGGGGGCATGGTGGTAAACCCTGCTTCCCCAGCCCCTAGGAGGGGGAGGCAGGAGGATCGAGAGACAGCATGAGGCCAACCTGGCTAAATAACAAGACATTGCCTCCCTGAGATTGAAAACAGTGATAAACTTTGGCATTTCAGTGGGTGTTGTGGAGGTTTCTTGTCCTGCCAGGTCCCACTGCCCTTGAGCCCCCAAATAAACACACAGATGTTATATTAATTATAAAACTGTTGGCTGATATCTAGGGCTTCTTACTGTCTAGCTCTGTCTTAATTTTTAACTAATTTCTACAAAAACATGTATTTCCATGTGGTCTTATCTTACCAGGGAACACCTGGCATGTCCTTTCTTCCTAGTCCCTACATGGTGTCCTCTCGTGGTTTCTCTCTGCCTACCTTCCCCAGAATTCTCGTCTCCTAGCCCTGCCTATCTTCCTGCCTCTACTGGCTATTGGCCAAACTGTTTTATTCATCAACCAATAAAAGAAACATATATACTGAAGGACATCCCCCACCAACTGGGGACACTGGATAGGTGAAGTCAACACATATATGTCCCAAAGTGACAAATTCTGGCTTCTGAAACAAGCCCAGACTGTCAGGTAAGGGACAGTGAACTTTCTGGTCACTTTTTTTTTTTTTTTTCGAGACAGGGTTTCTCTGTGGCTTTGGAAGCTGTTCTGGAACTAGGTCTTGTAGACCAGGCTGGCCTCGAACTCACAGAGATCCGCCTGCCTCTGCCTCCCAAGTGCTGGGATTAAAGGTATGCGCCACCAACGCCCGGCTACTCTGGTCACTTCTAAGAGTGTGGTAAAGCTTGAAAGATTCCGAGTATGGGCTGGTGCCAGGCTCAGTTGCTAGTGTGCCTGTCTGGCATGCTGCCTACCATGCCTGTTTAGCATGGAGAAAGCCCTGGGCTCCATTGCCAGAACCTTGAAAAGCAGGCACCATCCCAGTTCTTAGGAGGTAGAAGCAGTTTAAGGTCATCTTTAGCTACAGAGTTTGAGGCTAGCTTGGGCTACAATGACACCCTGTCACAAACCCATCCAAAAGTGTAGAAAACAAAATAAAATAAGACTGGGGAGATGGCTCAAGGGGTAACTTCTTATTCATGTAAAAAGCCAGACATGGCTGTGTGTGCCTGCAGTCCCAACACAGGCCGATCCTGAAAGCGCCTCAGGCTGGCCCGTCCAGCTAAAAGGACCAGCTTCCTGCTCAGCGAGGGTCCCTGTCTCAAAGGCGTAAAATGGCAATTGAGGGCCAGGTAGTGGTGGCTCACACCTTTGATCCCGGCACTCGGGACGCACAGACAGGTGAATCTCTGTGAGTTTGAAGCCAGCCTGGTCTACAGAGTGAGCTCCAGGACAGCCAGGGCTGTTACACAGAGAAACCCGGTCTCAAAAAACAAAAAAACAAAAAACAAAAACAAAACAACAAAAAAGCAAAAAGACAAAACAGCACAAAATGCCTTAACTCTTTGTTCTTTTTAAATTTTTATTTTATTTTATTTTTGTTTTGTTTTGTTTTTTTCGAGACAGGGTTTCTCTGTATTGTTTTGGAGGCTGTCCTGGAACTCTCTCTGTAGACCAGGCTGGCCTTGAACTCACAGAGATCCTCCTGCCTCTGCCTCCCGAGTGCTGGGATTAAAGGCGTGCGCCACCAACACCCGGCTATTTTATTTTTTATAATTTTTATTTGAATTAAATTCAAACACTAAAATGAGTGTTTCTTATTTTAAAGAACTAATGTATTTGGGGACTGGAGAGACAGCTCTTTCTGCTCTTGTGGAGGACCCCAGTTAAGCTCTCAGCACCAGAGTAGGGTGGTTCATTGTCACCTGTAATTCCACATCAGAGGATCTGACTCCTCCTTTTGGCCGCCACAAGCACCTGCATGCTCGCGTGCGCACGTGTGCACGCGCGCGCGCGCACACACACACACAGAGTCACACAAAATAATCTTTTAAAAGTTATTTGTGCCGGGCGTTGGTGGCGCACGCCTTTAATCCCAGCCCTCGGGAGGCAGAGGCAGGCGGATCTCTGTAAGTTCGAGACCAGCCTGGACTACCAAGCGAGTTCCAGGACAAGCTCCAAAACAGAGAAACCCTGTCTCGAAAAAAAAAAAGTTATTTGTGCAAGGCACACATGGGCCCTGGTGCACATATGGAGGTCAGAGGACAAGGTGCAGGGGTTCCCCAGGACGTGAGCCGTCTCTCCAGCTCAGTCGTTTGCTCTGAGGCGGGAGCTGGACATGACACCTGGGGTGGAACTGGCAGTCTTCCCGCCTCAGCCTCCCAGCACTGTGACCACAGGAGTGGACACATTTCCTAGTGTGCGCTGCTTCACAGTTGGGGCAAGGTAACTTGCAGGAGGGACCAGTCACCAGACCTTTGCTTCTGTCCTCTGTGAGGTCAGAATGCCCTGAACAGAGGTGTTTGCCCCTTGTGTCCAAGGGCAATGCTTAGCCTAGTGTTTCTGTATGCTGATACAGTCTGGGAGGAAGTTGAGAGCACTTCATTTTTTTTAGGACCTGATATTTGTGGATTTGATATCAAGAAAGTTCATGTTATCCTATATTTCAAAAACCAGTATCATTCAAATAAGAAGTCGATCAGATGCAAGGTGAGCTCCCTAATGTCACAGAGAGTGGCTTATCCATCTGCCCTCATTCCTCCCTTCCTCCTTCTCCCTCCTTTCCTTCCTTTTTATTCCTTTCTTTCTCTCTCTCTCATTCCCATTTTATTTTTTAAGCTTTTATTGTTTGTAATTGTCTGTGTGTGTGTGTGTGTGTGTGTGTGTGTGTGTGTGTGTGTGTGTGTGAGTGCAGTACCCACAGAAGCCAGAAGAGGGAGTTGAGTCCCCTGGAGCCACCTGACATGGGTACTGGACACCAAACTCTCGCCTCTGTGAGAGCCGATGTACTCTTAACCACTGAGTTATCTCTTTTCCTTCAGTTCATCTCACTAAATGGCCCAGATGGCCTCAAACCTCATGGTCCTCCTCCTTCAGCCTCCCAGATATGCCTTGTGCCTCAGACCTGATGAAGGTGAACAAGACAGGGCAGGGTGGCTCATACCTAAACCATAAGGAAGTCATCCTGTCTTGGAATTTCCTCTGTTGTCTTAGTCACTGTTCTGTTGCTCTGAAGAGACACCAAGACCAAAGCAAAAGAAAGCATTTAATTGAGGCTGGTTTATGGTTTCAGAGCCTTGGTCCATTATCAGCATGGTGGGACATGGCAGCACACAGGCAGGCGTGGTACTTACTGGAGAAGGAGCCGAGAGCCACACCCTGATCTGCAGGCAGTGGGAAGAGGGAGGCAGTGGGCCTGTCAAAACCCACCCCTCCTCCACGTCCACAACCTCCTCATCCTTCTAGTCCTCTCAAAGAATTCAACTCCCTGGTGACTAAGCATTCAGATATATGAACCTATGGGTGGCCATTCTCATTCAGACCTCCATATCCTGCCAAACGGCTTAACCTGGGGCCCTGGGCGCAGGGCGCAGGGCACGCTGGAGGTAGAGGACTTTGTGGTTTTTGTCTCTCTATTGAGACAAGGTCTCAAGTAACCCAGTCTGGCCTTAAACTTACTGTGCATCCAAGGATGACCTTGAACTCCTGATCTTCTGCTTCCATTTCCCAAATGTCTGGCTTACCAGAGTGAGCCACCACACCAGCATACGGGTTTGGTTTTTAAGACATACACTAAGGCCAGGAGAGGCAATGCTGTTGGAGCAGGCTACCTGACCAGCAGCAGATCAGTGACTCTGAGTACAGAGACATGCTGCCTCAGCGTGGAAGGTGGAAAGCCACCAAGGAAGACGCGTGACCGCAGCCCCCGGCCTCTACATGCACGCACAGGTGCCTCTGGACACATCCGCACTGCACACATACACACAGAAGGAAGAAGTATTCAGGGCTGCAGAGGTGCTTCCGTGGTTAAGAGCACTGGGTGCTCACCAAGGACCTGGGTTTCCTCACAGCTCCCACACCGAGGCTCACAACCATCTGTAACTCCAAGTCCAGGGATCAGAAACCCTCTTTCTGGCCTCCGTAGGCACCGGGCATGAATTCTATCTATTTATTTACTTATTTCGTTAGTTAGTTATTGGCAGGGTTTCATTTTGTAGCCCTGGTTAGCTTGCAGCTCATAGTATAGCTTTGAACTCACAGAGATGGCCTTCCTCTGCCTCCCAAGAGTTGGGATTAAAGGTGTGTGCACCATCACACATAGGAAAATAACAGCTTTTAGTCATCTGTACAAGGCTGCTTTCTACATGCTTTTCAAAACATTTTTGCCAGCCGGGCAGTGGTGGCACATGCCTTTAATCCCAGCACTA